ATGTGTGTGGAAAAATTATAAAATAAGAAATTTCAAAGCTAAATAAAGGCAAGTGTCTGAAAATGGTTTTTACAGCTTTGGCTTTTGTATGTTTTATTTGGGAATCTAAAACCATTTTACCCAACTAACAAATTAAGATTCACAACACCTTTCCGAATAAGATAATTGCTCCTGTCTTACAGATGGAGGAACAGAGGTATTGACGCTATAATTTGAAAATATGTCCCCTGATTTCAGGTCCTCAGACTGAGATACTTTTAAACCTGATTCTCAGAAGCGTGAAATACCTCAATTTTTCTTCATTCATTTGGCATTGTTTGTGCCTAGAGTCTCTGAAAATCAGATGCATAGCTTCCTAATTTGAATGGTCAAAATAACAAAAGTGACATGGCAAAGATGTAGAGAGCAGCTGCAAGGCCAAACTGGGACTGAGACCTGTGTCTTCTCATGCCACATCCCCTTTTTACTCACTGGTACCTGCCTTGGATTCCTGGACAAAAGGAAAACTGTTCTACTCACTGTTCTCCTCTGCTCTCTCAAACAGTTGGACGTTCTAGTGATGATATTGTTTGGGTTATTGATCGACTTTATAGAGTAATTTTACCTTGTCTTTCAAGAAAATTTCCTTCATATTTTTGTGATTAAGTCTCATTGTAGAACTAGCATGGAAATGCATTGAGAATCATTTGTATCACCTGGTTTTCCCCCGTTGTGTTGTGTTTTTCAGCATACAACAGTTTTGCCCTTTGTATTAATCGAGATGAGAACAACACATCATCAGTATCCCAGCAGGAGCTGTGGACTGGCTGCAGTGTGCACCTTCGCTGTTGGCTATATATTATGGTAAGGGCTGTATGCGCTGTGTTTTCATAGTGTATTGGAGGTTTTGTACTGCTAAATTTGGGCACATATTTCATTATGGATATAATCGCTAACAGATTCATGCTGCATGCCTCGTTTGGTCCAAGACCTGGGCTTTGTCTGGTTTCCCCAGATGCTTATATTTTTAGAAAGTATATGCCAAACCTCACACAACAAGAATTTGTTGAACAATCCCATGTAAGCAGTGGTCTTTCCAAGGGTACATTTTTCAACCTTTTTTCAAGCTAAATGTTTTTCTTGGACCTTAGTTTTATTGCTTAGGGTTTTTGTTCTATCAAATAAAATTGAGAACAGGCAAATTATTTCCTGCATCAGTATTTAGGTGGCAACACAAAAGATAGAACACTGTCTTTTTTCTTTACTAGTTCATAAATTCTTTCTGTAAAATTGATTACAGAATAAGCCAGTAATCCAAACACTCTGAAGTTTGTTTTAAAAAATGCAAATGTTTGTGAAGAATTAAACTAAAACAGAAATAACCTTTCTTACACAACATTAAATTAAGAATTTGGACAGTTTCTATTCACGCACCTGACTTACATGACAGAGTTAATTTACTTTGGTCATTCTAGCATTTTATTGTTCACTAAGCCTTTGTTTTATTTACGGTGCTCCTTTGATACCATGTATCTTTTGTCCTTTCTGCAAACATTTCATGACCCCTGTTTACTTCTCATATTCTTTCTTCTCACCTCACAACACCCTTCCCTCAGCTAACAGGATATTTTCCAAAATTGTGGATAATATACTGCTTTTTCCACTAGTCAAGTGAGTTAAAACTAATGAGAGAGGAACACAGGCTCAAGGCAGTACTGGCATAGTGCTTCAACTATGCAACTTGCCTCTTCGGTCTGATGAGAGGCCGTTATTCATACACACACACCGAGTGATCCTGAAGTGCTCGTAATCCAGTTGAAGTGGGATGTTGTGTCCCAGTACAATAGTCACATTCTGCCATTTGCTTGTATAAACATACATATCCTTCTTAAAAAATAATAATATTAGTAATTGTAAGGTAAGGACAGCCTCATGCAAAAAGGCACGTAATGATTCATTCAAAAGAAAGGAATTTTTTTTTAACCCACATATAATAGTAATGCATAACTGTGATATTTTTCTTCCTTCCTCTGAAGGGTGCCTAGAGACAGTTTGGCAGATTTATTGTACCTGTGATCTGACCTCCTATAGCAACTCCTGTTTTCTCAAAATCGTCTGAGTAGGCACATGCAATAGTATTCAATAGGAATAGAAAATTGAAAAAATCCTGTTCTGCAAATTAAATAAAACCAGAGGTGTCTTAAAATCTTTTAAGAAGCTGTTACAGTATCAGTGTGATACTCACATGGCTTGATCCTGCCCACTACAGTGCATCTACATCCTACAGCTACAAGTACAGCGTAAAAGGAAATTGTAGGACAAGTAAAGCAGGGGAAGAAGATTCTGCATTAAGAAATTAACTACTAAGCAGGTACCCAGATACAGCCTATGATCAGCTCCCTTTGCTTTTCCTGTTTATTGATTTTGCCTACATGTACATTATTTCCAAAATGGTTAGGGCTACTCTCAAGTGACTCACCTTCTTCCAAGTTGTGATTTCTGTAAAGATGGTCTGAGAGAATTGCTTATTCAGCCTGAAGGTCATCCTGCTAAATTCTGCATTTCTCCCTCTACTCTTATGAAAGAAGGTCTTTGGGGAAGACTGGAGGCAGACACAGGCTACACTGTGCCACCATCTGAAAGCTCTGCGTGTCTTCCGCCTACAAGTGTTATTGAAGCCACTATCCAAGATTTTGTTGAGACTGCAGGCCAAATCTTGTCTCCATTATATCAATACAATGTATCTGACATTTACAGGTTGTGAAAATGTACCAGAAAGTATGAAAAGTGTGGGGGGAGGGTTATCCCTGTCACTTGGACTGTGCTTGTCTTTCACAGCTGAGGTCCATTATCTTCATGCTGCTAAGTGACCACATTGAAGTAGAGACCTTAATCACTTAGAGTGTTTGGAATTACTTAATTCAGATTTGCTGCCCTCATTGATGTACCCTTTAGACTCCTCAAGGTTAGCACAATGCATTAAAATTAAACCACAGCTGCAAATGACCTAGTTACATACAGCCTGGTAGAACTTCCTTCCATTGTACCCTTGGCTGTCCATGGGTCCCCTGCTGGGGCCTAGTTCTTGGTTTATGGTTTTTTATCTAGAGGTTAGGGATCTGCCACTTGAGAATTTGGCCTTCTCCCTACGTCATTGTTTCCCTCAGCAGAAGTGTTTTCACTGCAACTCTCTCAGTATAAAGTGGAGACAGTTACTGATCAGATGTTCTCTATGTTTTGCTGTTGTCTCTTTCCCCACCTCAGCCGAAACCTTCTTACCATGCTACATGGCACATGTATCATGTTGCACTTTGTACAGTAAAGGAGCATACAGGAGGACATTGTTTAGGTTTGATTCTGTTAATGCGGTTTTTTTCAACACCGAATAGAGAAGAGCTTGTGTTTTATTTCATATGTGACTGAATCTTTCACCTATGGCAGAGATGATGGAGTTGCAAGCTTTTACTGCATATATTTGATAAATGAGAAAACAGGCAAACAATTCTGAATAGAATCACTGAAGTTGGAAGAACATCGCTAAATAACTTGATATCCCCTGAGCATTATTCAGAGACGTTATCTGAGAAACATCCTTTCCTGAAGAGCAAAACCTTTTCTTTTTTTTTCTTTTTTTTTTTTTTTGGCATTCTCTCCATTCAGTCAGAGAGCATTTGAGTAGGCACACTTAGCTCATGTGCTCTCTGTGAGGGGGAGCTCTCCTTTGCTCTTAAGGAACTGTGCCCAGGCAGAGCATTCACAGACTTGCATTGCCTGTTGCAGACCATACATGGACTTTCAGGATCAAGGCCATGGGATAACATGGGAAAGGCCGATTGGCTTTATTTAGCATGGCTTGAAAAGGTCACAATTTGTACTGAATTGATAAATCTAGACAATGCTAAGAAAATCCAAGAGCTTGCCAGTACTACCAGAACATACTGCCAATGGGTGTGTGGAGTTGGTTGTCAAGGAACAGAAAAGAGCCAGAAATGTGTTGCTCCTTGTAATAAGAATGACCTCATGGTAACTAGTATCAGAACCTAATATGTCCCTAAAATAAACTGAGACAAATACGTTTATTTAAAAAGGTTTTCTTGTTCCCTCTGCTTTTGAGCACTTGAGAATGCCAAAAAACCAGACCCTATGAATTTGACCCCACTGCTGGGCTACGTGTTTGGGAGCAAAAGACTTTATCTGCTCTCTTGTTCCTGTCTCAAATCCACTAGGAGCTGCCTCCACATGTACCAAGCTTGGACTTGATTTGTTCTTTCATTCTTTGATAAATTTATTTAAAGACCTCAGGTACCTTTAAACTTTCATTGGAAAATAAAGTTTCTCTTGAAGTGGCTTTAGGAGAGTTCTATAGATTTGCTGAGGGAGAGCATTTAGATGGGGTAATTTGCTGGATTCTCCTTGAATTAATTTTAAAAGGAATGTACACTGAGAATTTGGAATGAATTTGAGATCGATGCTGTCAGCCTTGCTGTAGGATTTCTGATAGTGATTCTCCATAGAACGAGAGGAAGCTCTGAAAGAGTAGATGTTGGCAAAGGGATGAGGGTGCAGACTGCTAAGACAAACCTTGACATTCAGAAGAGGGGGATGGAGAGTTAGAGCATGAAGCTTGGTGGGAATGGACAGCCATATCGACAAAGAAGGCCAGGATTGAGAAACCAGGAGTTCTGAGGTTGCTGGTACCGATGGAGCAGGAGAGACACAGCATCTCTGTGCTACAGTGTGCTGGGGGTCTGTATGTAGGGACGGCGTCATGAATGCTTTTGGAAGTGAGCACCGGGGACAGAAGTTCAATACAGATCAGAGGAATCACTGGTTGGGGAAAAAACAAGTGAGAAGTCCTTGAGGCAAGTAAAAGAGATGAACTAGAACCACGGGTTAAAACAGAAATGGGTAAGGAAATGTGCAGCCCACAGGTCAGCAGCTTGAAAGCTGAAATCACGCAAGTAAGTGGGAAAAGCTGGGAGGGGGAGAGACAGGCTTTGAAATCAGAGTGAAAGGCTGATGGAGAGGTGGGTGATAGATGAGACAATGCAGAGGAGGAGAAAAGAGTTGGAGCCAGAGCTACTCAGAACAGGAAAGAGTAGGAAGAAGTAGAAGAAGCAGAAATAGGCCAGGAGAAGATTAGCATCCCCTGTATCTGACCCAGAAGAAGGGTGGGACAGCAGAAGTGTTTTCAGAGAGAGAAGGCTGCATGGATCCTCAGCCTGTTAGGTCTGACATAGCCGTTATGGACTGTTACAGTCTGGCTCCGCTCCACCTCCACATCCTCAAATCTTTCAGTCAAAGCAACAGTACAATCATAGATAACATGCATGGATAATACATTCTCACTTGCTTGTGCAACCCCTTAAAATATAGCTCAAGAAGGCATAGCAACCATTAGTATATTTAAAATGAAATATTATGTATAAAAATAGATGACTTCCAAAGATGACCAGACCTTGCAGCAAATCTGCAGAGTTTCTGTCATTCTAGCTACTTGCACATAAACACAAATTTTTGCTAAGCTTTGTTCATCTCAGAGGATGAACAATGTCATGCTGAGTGTGTTTTGCATGTGACATTATTTGCAGCTACAGTTTTCCAGGACTTGTCTTCTTCTGACTGCATAAGCCACTCCATACCAGTAGCACAGTCCCTATGACCCAGTTATTGTTCAGCACCACTCAGATCAATGGAGAAGAGCCCAGTGTAAGAAACAGGAACAATAGGGGATGATTGCTGTTATTTCCCTACTGATGACTGTTTATTGAACTTATTTTTTAGTCTTTAAAATGTCTAAACAATGTACATTCCTGGTGCAGGTGACTTAGGCCTGGCTGGCTGGTATTATAAGCAGCTCAGCATCTTAATGTGGCTGAGATGTTAACAGTTCTGATTAGATCCAGAACAAGCTGTCCTGTGTTGGAGGGAGGGGTGGGGCGGGAATCATAAAGGTTTATGAAAATGTGCCTCACATCAGACAGTACAGAACCCAAAAGCAGAACAGATTTAGTTTGGGTCATTGTGCTCCTGCCTCTGAAAGCACAGGGTTGGTCCCTACTCTATAACCACAAATTATTTGTTCATTCATGTTTTGAATGACTCAGCTGCCGTAAGCCTGTCACCCTCCTTTGGGAGACATTCCACATTTTAATAGTTCTGGGTAAAGTTCTCACTTTCTGTGGAAAAGGAAGAGAGTAATGCTAGGCAAGATCATGAAATAAAAGCGCAGAAAATGCCCATGAAAGGCACAACAGGAACTGGCGTAGGATTTGTTTGAGACCAAAGATTCAGCCTTCCTTTCTGACAGTCACTGGAAACCTGAACAGCACAGAAGATGCGGGAAGGGATTTGCTGCTGCAAGAAGTGACCAGAAAGGAACTGCCATAGAGTAGTCCTGTATCCAGGCTCTAGCTGTAGCTAATGTCAGGTGCTTCAAGAGAAGATTTAGCAGGCCATTTTGGAATAACCAGCCTGGGAAGTTTTCTTCCAAAACCTGTGTCAAAAAGTAGATGCTTGGATCCTTCAGTCTTGATGGTTTATATACCTTGTGCTCTTTGAACTTAAAAGCGTAACTGTACACATTCTTATTGCTTCTACAGTCTCCTGACTTCAGGAGCTTGCTAGAGGTGCATGATATGGCATGGAGAAGAGGAGTGGACTAAGTAGATTTCCAAACTTGTATACTTCAAAACTTTTTGTATATCTTGATTTCATTGATGCATCACTGAAACATAGGATAGAGCATTCCAGAGGTTAATAAGGTATCATTCAGAAAGATATTTCCATTATCAGATTTCAATTTCTTGTCTCCGAGTTCTATTGAAATGCTTCTTGTTATAACAAAGAGCATTGGGAGCTCTTCAGCCGTTTTATGACATGCATTATTGTTCTGTGGCCTCTCATTCACTGCTCTTGAAAACTTATACAGCTCTCATCTAATAGTTCCTGTTTCCAGAACACATAGTACTGATAGTTGTTTGGCTGCAGCCTTCGCTGAAGGACTCGAGTTGGGCAGGAAATGGGTGGAGAGTCTCAGAGTTCAGACCACAAAATGCTGCCAACCTGTGATGCCTGTGCAAGTATATTCAAACTCCTGTAGCTGAGAGCAGCCATCATGGAGAAGCAACCATTTTCAGCAACCTGGCTCCAGTTGCAACATCTTTCAGGTGCCATGGTTATCTTCTGTTATTCTGTGCTTGCTTCTACCAGCACTATGTTTTACACATGCTGTTGTAACAGCTGCATTACTCAAAGCGACAGGTAGAGCACACATAAACCACAAGGTTCCAATAATTTTTTGTAGTTACTTTTCTTCATTAACAAAAGACCTATAGCAAAAAAACCCCGTATATTTATCTTCTCTGCATAGTTTTCATTTCCTCCTGATTACTTTGATAGGAGAGATATACAACATCTATTGTATACTAGAAGTGAAAAAAAAGCTACAAATACAAATTTTTGACAGATTTTTTAAAAATAAGCAATATTGTGTGTTTTCAAATAGTTTTTCATGATTTCTACACCAGCTGGTTGAAAATTTCCAAAAATCACCACTTTTTTTAACAGACATTTTAATTTGAATACAATGTGTGAATATTTTCATTCCTTCTTTTCTTACCAGTTCTAACAAATGGCTAAGTGAGCTCAATGACCTGTAACACATTCATCTTTGAAAACACAGTTACATCTACATGGGCTGCCACAGAACCAAAGCACAGGGAGATTCAAGTTAATTTTATCTTCTCAAAGGTTCCTGGTTCAGTTTTAGCTTAAACTTTTTCTCCTCAGTTTATTTTTGTCTAAACAACCCATTTTTTGTAACTGTTCAATAACAGGGTCTTAAATTGGATCTAGACTTGCACTCCTTAGTAAATCTTAATGCATGCTCCCCTGTGCTTATCTAATAATGAGGTTGGACACGAATAATGACTACTAGAATTGTGATGTTGAAAGCATTTATTAACATTAGTAATCAGCAATCTTGTGTGGAAGCTTTATGTCTATGGTTTATCAGCCCTTTATTGTGTGGCGTCGAGATAGCTTCTGTTCAAGCAGGAACGAACCCGCTAAGAAAGACCATCAGGTGAGGTTTCCATGGCAGCCGTCATCCCTTTGCTGCTCGCGTTTGTGGTATAGACAATGGAGGAATAGTCAGTGTGTCACTGCTCAGCAGAGAGGAGGCAAATATAGCTCCATCCCAAAGCAGCAAGTGGTGTGGTACAGCTCATTTTAAGGAAGATCAAGGCAGCCGATCAGGTGGGTTTGTGACCGTTACCTCTCGAGTGGTGCTTCATATCTCTTGTTCTCAAAGCATGAATTCCTGCGGCATGGCTGCACTGGGGGCAGGCATACAACAGCTACCCTGAACACGTGAGGAGTATCACCAAACAATGAGTGGGCTCCTGCGCTGGGCAGCAAAGAGCAGCGTGCGTGAGCTGTACTCAAAGACTCTGAACTAACCAGAGATCACTGACATTCAGGAGTTCATCAGTGACTCACTGGTTGGATTTAGAAAATATTTCCTCTTTCCAGCATGAATACATTCTAGTAAATGCCACTTCTGCTTGGTTCATGAAGTTGGCTACATAGGTGCAGTTTAGGAGATCTCTTGAAAAGTCCTTCTGTAAAGGTGCTTTATAGTCCTGGACAGTTTCATCACACCACAGAAAATAAGAGAAAAGCACTGGCTTTTTTTCAAGCTTTTTCCTTGGAGCTTGTTTTTTACAGAATAATCATAAAATAAAAGCAAGTGGAAATGAAAAATGTTCGGCAATAATAGGCACTCCCTGCTAAGCCAGTCTAGGACTAGAGGACATCCCATTACCTTCTACCCTACTGTCCCATCTTTTTCTTAAATCAAGAGGAACGTGGTATCCCCTGTTACCATGAGTTACCCAGGAACCCTTTATTTTTTCACAGATAACTTTATCTTGTCAGGTTAATTCTGGTACAGAAGAATGATGTGGAAAATAACTGCAAAGTACAGAGATCATTTTCCATGTGTGAGCTCATTTGGAGAAAGGGTTTTTAATCTGCATTTAGATGGTGCAGATTAATTTACTGACACGTAAATTCTTACATGAAGTGTCCAACTGGTAAGGGTTTGGCTGTAATAAAAGCTTTTCTAAGAAGGAGGAAAGCTATGACAACCACATACATTTCCTGGGTGAGGGAGAATGGTTAAACAGGGATTCTGTACTCTGGGTGACAGGCATTTGTGGGAACAGTTGTGGGTGGACTTCTGTGACTCTGCCCTTCAGGAGCCTATGACTGTTGATGTAGTGATCAAAAGTCTGCCTTAAACAAATGTAAGTATCAGCAGGTGAAGCAAATCATATGGACGTGGAGGACCCCATCAATAACAGTCTGTGCAGCTGCTGAGCCTTCTCTAGCTGTGCTTCACTGTGAACTTCTCTCTCAAATTGCTGGGTCAGAAAGGAAGAGGTTTACATTCTTCAAGAGAGCCCAGCAGCCCCTGGGACTGAGCACTTTTCCCAGTCAGCTTCCCTGATGTTTGCTCAGTTTGGGAGCACTTGTCTTTCTCTAGCTTCCACCTACTGGAACATATGGACCTGCTCTGCTCTCTCTGACTTCACCACTTACCACGTCAGGTCTTACCTCAAAATCTATCCCTTCAGAGGGTACAGGTGTCCATTGCAGTCATCCACAGCAAAACCCTGTGCCTGGAGTGCTTCTTCAGGCCGCACTGCAGTAAAGCTGAGACCCTATCTCTTGGGTTAGCGCACCAACAATCTCCACTGTAGCTGAATGCTAAAAAATCTCTTCATCACCAGCAAACTGCCATCCTTCCTTCTCCTTTACTCTATATTGAGTGTGGAGCTGGGCAGAATTTCACTGATAAGGTTGGTTGTTGTTTGGGGTTTTTTTTAAGTGTTTATCCTACCTAGAGAAAATTATTAGATCTCAAATGATACCGGGTAACTGAAAGAAAAGGAGGAGCAACCTAAAACACAGGTGCTGAAGAAATTATTCTCTCAAAGAGAAGCTGAACCATATGCTTCTGGCAAACCCAAAAACTGACACACTTGCCAGGTGTAGTGAGGAGAAGCAGCAGAAACACACAAATGTGTGCAAAATGAAAGGACACTGCAGAAAGCAGAGCCTTGGGCTGTGTAGGAGAGCCTGAAGAACACTGAATGCTCTTTGGATAAAGAACCTGCTTGGAACAGAGGGTGCTGCAGTTTCCATGCTGCCACACGAAACAAGGGTGTGTATTCCTTGTAAATATAGATGCAACAAAGAAATACCTGCCTACGTCAGAACATGAAAATTGGCCAACTTCTCATATTAAATTTAAAACAAAGCAGTAAGAATGTGGGAAATCAGTCACAGTTCTATCATTTGTAATGTCTGGCCTGGGTGAATGTCATCCGGGTGCTCCAGTTCAGTTGTTAATTGCAGTCCTTTCAAATAATTGCTTTACAGGTTACAGTAGCTCAGCCTACAGCCCAAGTTTCTTTTGAAAAACAGGGCTGTATAGAGTCAGTACTCGTTATTTTTGTTTTGTTTCAGGGTGTGCTGGATTCACCATGTTACTGGAGTGTGGGTGTACCCGCTTCTTGAGCACCTCAGCCCAGGTGTCAAAATAATCTTTTTTGCAGCTGTTACTGTAATAATTAACATATTCTACTTGCTGGGAGAGATCCTGAACAACTACATCTGGGATACCCAAAAATGTGAGTATTGTTTTAGGAATATTGATTCATGAAATACACCACGGAGACTTGAGTATGCTCCCCTGAAAGTCGAGAAGGTTTTAAGCTGGCTAAAACAAAGGAGAATGACAGAAGTTCCACTGAAACATCTTGCTTGCTCTTAAAAGTAGCTGGATGAACGGAATGGCTGCTGGAGAGCATGATGAGCTATGAATATGTATTCTTTTTTATAACTTCCAATACTAATTTAAGAGCTGTTGGCAATTACCTGAGAGGTTTACAACCCACTTGGTTTACAACCCACTTATTAGCTGATGAACCCATTAAATGCAGCTAGAATAAAGTGTCATTCTGTGGGAATGCTGTTAACAGTAAGCTTAGACTTAGAAATAAAAATATATTCTTTTAGTATTTTCAGGTATGAGGTGTTTTCTGCTTATGAATTTACTCAAGGAAAATGAATATGTTCATGTCAGTAAAATAACAGGAATGAAAGATCACCTTGGTGCGGGGTAAACATAACTGTGCAGACTCTACATCATCTACCCTGCCTAGGCCACCCATTGCTGAGTAAAGGAAAAGGGAAAATAAGACAAACACAAGATTAAAAGTAGGTTCCTTTAATCGATGAAGCATGTTTTAATGAAAAACATTAATCAAATTGCCTGAAATAAGCAAACAACAGTCATAGTCCCCACAATGGCAAATCACAACTGGAGTGAAATCCATGCTCCGTAGGAATTCTGTCATTACATTCGTTGGGTCCATAACACGTTGGGACCATTTGAACAGCCTGTATCCCCTTTTGAGAAACTTAGTGTGCACTGGTTAATACACCATAAATTCACAGGGTAGTTTATTGTACACACAAATCTCTTTTAATAGGGCCTTCAGTACAAGGTAGAACCTAATGCAAGAAGCTCAAAGCAGTTTTACTTGCCATTTGCTCACATTAGCACCAGGGTATAGTGTCTCTCTGTTTTTACTCTAGAACCAGTGATCCTTGGTCACAGGGTTCAAGTCTCGTTTTCACTCCTCAGTTTGATGTCACATTCACATCTGTTTAACTTATTTAAGTTAATTCAGGAAAGAAGTTTCTAAAAAAGGCAGCTGTGAGGAGTAATTTCACTTGACCTAGGTCCTGTATAAAGAATAATAATGTAGTGAAGAATCACATGTTCTTACCAAGGCCACGAATAAGTAAATGGTGGAAAATCTCCCTCACAGTTCCACAGTGTGCATAACAAATTCCCTGGTTCTTGTGGCCCTCCACCCTTGAGAAGCTAGTATCAATTGGATCATTCTTCCACCTTTTGCAAGGTTCACCATGGCATTATTATCATCTCCGTAATTTCCTTGATTTGATTAAAGAATATTGATACAAAGTCCTTTGTGGTTTAAGCATGTGCAAACCAGAAAATGCCATGAGTCACCTGCTGGTTTGCCGTGCTTGAAACACTTTGCATGAACCTAACCTGAGTGTATGGGAGGCAAACCGCAAACAGTAGAGATGTAAAATAATGCCAGTCTGTCACCATGCAAGACTTGGGAAAAATATTATTTTAAAACTGTACATTTAAAGGGGGATTTTAAGCAGTAAGCTTGCAAATCAAAGCGGTCTGCCATGAGAAGATATCTGGGGCGAGAGGGGGTTGGTTTGGATTTGGAGTTTTTTCCTTTTCCTCTGGAGATGCACTAAATAAAACCTCACATCTGACAAAATGATTTGCAGTTAGTTTTTCCAAGTTACACCACAAACATGGTAGGCAAGGAAAAATTTGCCCTTTGTACAAGCCAGTGTCTGTGCACAGTTTTGAGGGTATCTGCATTCCTGCCAAACTATTTGATGCATCTGCAGTAGAGTGTTTCAGAAGAAAGGAAGGAGGCTCTTTTAAAAAGGCAAGTAAAACAGGTCATTTAAAACTCTTGGAAAAGTTCCTTCCAGAAGAAAGCAGAAGTCTCAAGATTGGCTCTGGAGCAGCCTTGTAAACCCACTGCAATCTTTTGGACCCAGCCTTTTGTTTTGGTTGTTAAACCTTCATCTGTGGCTCTTCCACTACATTGGTTTGCCAGCAACACCCAGAGCCATTGTACTTAGGCTGCTGAAAGTGCGCAGACCCATTTGTTTCCGTGTTGCTTCCTTCAGCAAGGCAGCTCTGAAGTTCCGCTTTCTAACTGCAGATGGGTCTTATTGTTTCCTATATTGGAATCAATTAACTATGTTTTTAAAGTAACGTTAAGTGTACCCACCATCTATGCGGTAGCTTAAGATCACTTTATTTCATTAACAGGTGATCTTACTTGTGACTCGATTTTCCTCTCAGCATTTTCAAACATTGCTTCTCTTTTGCCTTTAGTCCTCAGAAGTATTTTTTTTCCAGCATGCAGCAGGCCTGAAAACCTCCAAAAGAAATATTTGTATTTGAGATGTCTGGCAGAGAGGGCTTAGTCAGAAGAACAATACTTTTGTCAGATACCAATAGTAATTCATTGTCTAGGAACAGGCATATGAAATAGCTGAATGTTTTCATTGCCAGAAAAAACACAATCTGCTGCCCAGTCCAGCCTTTGCTCAGCATAGAAAAGGGACAAGTCCTGCACCAAGGATAAGTTCTTTTAGGAGCTCTACACTCAACTCAGCCCTTCTGATATTACTGAAAGACACGGCTGTTAAGAGAGAGGCACCCTATCAACAGGAACTGATTCTTCATTCTTGTACTTTCAAAAAAGTGAGATGTACGTGCAAATATTTTAAAATCTAATCTTGAAATGGAGGAGGAGTAAAGTTATTGAATTCTGAAACAATTTTTAAAACTTGCTTTCAGAAAAAGTCAGCTGCTTAGCTTCAGCTATAACAAGATCTACTTTAATTTGCTTGTAGGTAAGCAGAGGACGTGAGGGAACTAACTGTTCCCAGACCCCTGCAGCAGTCAAAGGCGCTGAGCGTGCGGCAGGGGGTTAGGCTGATTTGAAAATGGTCTGGAGGGAGGAAGGGTTGTGCTGTTCATTACTGGACAACCACTGCCATCAGGTGTGCAGATGCTCTTTTCATTCACCGCAGGTGAGGTAACACATGCAAGAGCATGTGAGTAAGTAGGGGAGAAACAACAGCAATAAAAGGAAAAGAAAGATTAATGCATCAGAAGAACGTCTCTAAATAAATTCTTCGTTTTTATTTATTGAGAGATTTTTAAAAGCGGTTCTCCATATGTTTTCAGGTATTGAAGAAGGAAAAGAAAAGCCGAAATTGGACTGAACAATAGAGGCAACATGGAGGATTGTTTATGGCTCCATGGAAGATTTCTCATCCCCAACAGAGGCTGGCGTGGAGAGGAATCTTTTGGAAAGGAGGAAGTTTAATGGGCCCTTTGCTCAGTGCAAGGATATTTTGGGGTTTTATATGGAGGGAAAATGATTTTAGCTACAAATAATAATAACGTTTCAACCTCCGTTCCATGCTTGCATGTGACATACACACATAAGATGTATATTTATCTCCACAGCATTCTCAACATGCATTTCTTGCATCAAATAAGTCATGAAATCATCAAGTCATTAAATCTTTTCACTTCCACCAAGAAGATCAATGGGTCCATTCTCAATATTGTTTGAGAAAAGCTTAACCAGATAGGTCTAATATGGGGAAACAAAGCAATCCTTTATATTTCAAAGTACAGTGTAAAAATACAGTAGAAGTTAATTGCATGAATGTATCCAAAGAATTCAATCTGATTGAAATATCCATGTAACACTATGTAACAGCTGCCTTAAATCAGTGATGTTAATAATTCTATCAGTCCAGTAAAATCTTACTTGCAGTGTTAGACTATCTGAATATGATGCAACTTTTCTTAAATAGGCCTAAATAAAGATCAAATTACCCCTGTGTTTCTGTTTCTTCATGTTGATTCTTGAAATTCTAGATGGTTTGATGGCATTTGAATGATAGTGATGGCATTTGAATTATATATTTTGAGGTTTTCCAATGTCAACTGTAAATTATATTATTTCTACATGATAATTTTTCTTCTTATTTTCCTAGTACAAGACCTGATCCTGCACTTTCAGGTTTGAAGTTCTCAATACATGGGCTGATCCATTAGTGTTATACCAGAGAGCATTTAAGCCTTACTTCAGGAAGGCACGTAAGCAAATGTTTAAACATATGCCTGTTTGTATTAGCAATTCAGTTGCAAAATACTAATGATTGTTTAAACTTGACAGGATTCTGTTTCATTATCAGACGATCAAGAAGGATCTCTAGTAGGCTGAAAAAATGTCTAGAATTAAAATAAAGTGAATGGAATACTTTTCAGTAAGAAATTACTTATTAAAAAAGTAACTTCAAGATCCAAATGTCTTGGTATTCACGTCACATATTCATTAGTGTATTTAGATGTATTTATTTTAACACATGCAGAGCACTTCAAAGATGTATAATGTTAATGTGTGACTTTCATTAAAAGGGTTTCTGCAGAGTTTTAATATGGTTTAACCATGTTTCTGCTCTGAAACAGTTCTGGGAAAAGCTGATCTCATGCAACTCATAACATGCCTCCACAGTATTTTTTTTCGTGGACTCATATTTAAGTACACACTATCATAGGAAATGACACGCAAGTTAAACAGTGTGCTTTTTGGTTGTTTTACTTCAAAAATAAGGCTTCTGTGATGATATTGTCTTTGTGACTGTCTGTCCTCTCAATAATTTTTAACTTGTTGATCAGAGTTGCAAAGATTTCAAAGTTAGGCAAGTTACTAGTAAGTGCATGGAAATAAGAGGCCAAATAAAGAAGGAGCTCCTCTGATGGTCCCACAGAGGGAGAGGACAGGACACACAAAACCAGCAGAATTTTGAAGCAAATTAGCTGCAGCCATGTGGCCTTGCGTGAGGTTACGTTGTGTTCTGCTGGACCTGAGTTGTGCCTTAGGTGTGCACAGTAATACTGCAACATGGTTACTCTTATCCACAGATAACTAGGGCTTGATTGTTATAGATGGTTGTTACTAGAGGTGGTAAGGTATCTGTCATTTGCAGTAGGCTTTCAAAACTAAGGAAAGAGAGAAAGCATGGATTCAGTCATGTTTAGTGAGATAGGAACTGTTTGAAGTCACTGCTTTTGAAAGCTCTGGTAGCACATGAAAGTACTGGTGGGCAATGAATATGGTAAGGAGTCTGGCTGTTCCTTCCAACAGCAGCAGCAACGGTGACAGACATCGCATTGTGAAAGATTATCAGTGACGGCTTAAGGTGGGAAGCCCAAAGCACAAACCCTGTTGACTTATTTTCATTTGAAAAACTTGCCTAACTCATGCTCTGCTGTTAAGTCTACGACATTTTTGCAATTTTTTTACTTCACGGGGATTGTTTCCTTTACTGAATTCAGTAATTCATTCTGATGGAAGGAACGTGTTAAATAAAAATAGGAAATGCCAAAATGCCACACAGCTATACAGATTCTGCTAGAGCACACTCTGAACATCTGTGCTGTATTCATTGTACCACTGAATGGCTGAGACCTCAAAAACTGTCTGCTGAAGGAAAGATTCCTCTTTCTCAGTAAGTTTTGCACCTGCTCAAGGTAAGTTTTTCTTCTGATGCCATGTTGTTTTAGGTGGTACTGGAAAAGTAGTAAGAATATAAAGAGAACAGAAACATCAGAGATCAAAATTGCATAGCTGAATCCATAGGTAGGTGTCCAAGGAAAAGAAGACTCCCTTTCAGACGTACAGCATGGGGACACATAAAATTGTCATGCCTGATATCTGTGAATTTGTGAATATTCAGCAGCTCAAAAAAAACAGAGTACCAAGCTTAGATCTCAGTTAAACCCCTGAGGTGGGCAGTGTTAGCCAAAGGCAATATATGTGAACAAAAATGTGGTGAGTTTCTTTTGGTTTGGGGAAATTTATAGTATTCCAAGAAGGTTTGAACTGAATTTGTCTTCTCAGATCTCAAAAAGTTCTCCACCTCCTATGAGCTTTGAATCATCGTATTTAAAGTCAAAAACATTTTAGAGCATTAAATCCAGCCTATGATGTATGAACCATGATATAAATAACTTAGAGGCCTGTGTACCCAGAGAGTGCTCTAGACTGTGTTCATTCCCTTTAGAATTACACAATCCATCATTCTTAAGAAAGATGATGGATGAATGATGACTAAAGTAAAAGTCACTTGCAAGCTTGCCAAATTTCAGACATCTTGGCTGAAATTGTCCCTGAAAGGTATTTCTCTTGGGGGTACTATTTTTTTGGTGGAAAACTTTTTGTCAGAACAAGTCATCTATTTCCAAGTGCAAGTCTATGAAAAAAAAAATAATGTCTGGAAAACTTTTCTGTACTTTTCTCTTGTAGTGGAACTGCATCTTTGGAAGAAGGATAGCATTTGTTAGTGACACTTATGAATTTATGGGGAGAATCTGTTCGTCTTTGTCCAAGTTTTAGAAAAAATACGCTTGCACTTCCCTGTAGTGCACAGGTAATTCTCCAACATGTTTATCAGCTTTGGGAACGATCCATCTTGTGGCTCAACAGGGTTTTCCCTAGTGTCCCTGATCTATTGACATTCTCCAGGCGTGACTACCCACAACACACACCACAATGGGGACCATATTGTCAGTACCTCCCCAAAGCTGATGCAAATAAAGCTGCCTAGACCAAATATGAAGGAAGGAAAGCTTTGATGAAAACCTGAGCAATGAGAATAGGTTCTAGATGGATAAACTAAGTGAAAAAACTCTTAGCTTTTCCCTTGAGGACTCCAGTAAAATTAAATTAGTAATGTTTGTTGAGTATGTCATAGTTGTAATGATAAATCACATAGAAAACTCTGTGAGGGAATCATTAGTTCTGTTGTCAGAGAAGAACATAGCGTGCAGTAAATAAGGCAGGCTGCCACACCTTGAACCACAAGGAAAAAACAAAATGCAGTTTCATCATTCAGTGAACACCATCCATCATGTCTTATGAATGAGGCATAGGAAAAAATATTGTGTGATCATCTAATTAAAGGCAATATCATAATTCATGCTCACAAGGGGCCAAATTAAGGTTGAACACACGGCCTTAATTCTGACATTACCTCACTCTTGTATGCCTGATTTTCCAATCTTAATAGCACTCTCTTGACTTAGAGCACAAGAAAAAAGGGGTATTTTTTTGTAAGGCTGGTTAGAAAGTCTAGCCACAGAGTTGCCATGAATTTCAGTATGACACTATCCCCTGTTTGGCTTTAAAAAGCTCATCCTCATCTTCTGCATGCATTTAGCTGCTCTCGAACATATATGCACAGTTCCCATACCACTCTGTTACAAACAGGTTGCCATAATTAGCAAACTTTTGCCACAATTTGAAAATTAAATTATTTTAGTCTGTGGTTTAGCTTGTGTGTGAGACTGTCTCTTTTATAGCAACCATTGCTTTATTTTAAAGAAAAATGAAAAATATTTTTCCTAATTTTAAGTTGATTTTTTGCTTCTCTGCCCACCATGTGCATGTCAAAGCCACTTGGACACTGTGAGTAGACTGAAAAATGGCTAGCCATTCTGCAGGCTCCCATGTGGCAGTTTGTAATGACAGTGTATGAGGCATACACTTCTCAGGTCATTTTTCCTATTGAATTTGTTATTCAAAGACTATTTCAAATCCCAATAACAATTCTCCTTCACCTTTTATTTTCTATAAAGTTTGGTCAGTCTGCAGGGCTCTGCACTTTGGTGGCCTTTGAAGACTTGGATACTGTTAGACTGAACACTGAAAGGTTTTATAATCAAAAACTTGAGTTAAAGTATAGTCCTGAAGAGACCATCAGCCTGCGGATAGCATCACTGAGATAGGTTTGCTGTTCCTGCCCTGGGAGTGGAGTAACAAGTGGCAGGACAAGTGTAGGGGAGGTCACCTCTGAATGCAGCCTTGGAGAAGTTACACTTACTAATCCTGTCTTTTCATGCTCCTGTGTTTCATGTGAACAGGAGAAAATGCTGGTAACAGAGATTTTGCATCTGCAGCAGCAAAAAAAAGCTCCTAATCAAAGCATAATGCATCCTAGTAGAAGAGGCCATGTGCAGCTGTAGCCAGCTGCTTGAACTGGGGTCACAGGTGTTGCAGGAAAGGGCCATTATGTTTGGTCCAACATGTTCATATGTGTTGTAAAAGTGCAGGTGTCATCAATGTGTCTGACTGCAGTATTAAACCTGGGGTTTGACTGTTGCTGAAGTCCCAGGGAAAAAAAAGCAGTTTCAGGTTTGACTGATCAGTTTTCTGCAGTGGCAATGATCTCCCCTTTGAGGCAAGAGGAACAAAGGGGAAATGAAATTAGCTTGGAAAGTGAAAAGATCTAGCTGTTGACATCTGGGTAGAAAAGTAGTTGGGTGCATCCTGAACTCAAAGCACACACACACAGGTGTTTTTCAGCGCAGGGGCTTTCCTGAATGAGAGGTCAAGTGGACTTGCAGGTGGGACACTTTCTGTAGTGCTTCTAATGACGTAATGAAATGAAAGCTTTCTGTGCTTAGAGTGAAAATAGGTCTTTTGAGCTTAGTGACTTCCTCTAGCTTGTATTATTAAGTTACTCTAAGAACAGGGCTGTCCAATATATTAAATCAATCAAATATATTTAATGTATATTCTCCAAAATAAGCCATTTTTATCAAAAATGCACTCTGTTTTTGTTCAAGTAACAGATGGAAATCAATGGATTTTAATGTAACCCAGAAGAGCAAATTTTACTCTTATTCCCTTAAGTGCCCTTCTCTTGTTTAGACCACAGCTGTAAAGGGATTTGATTCT